ATAGGACTACTGTAATAACGGTTAGTTTGGCTGGTCACCGTGGCTCACACCTGTAATCCCAGCACTTTGGGAGGCCGAGGCGGGTGAATCACTTGAGGTCAAGAGTTGGAGACCAGCCTGGGCAACATGCTAAAACCCTGTCTCTACTAAAACACAAAAGTTAGCCAGATGTAATGGCGCATGCCTGTAGTCCCAGCTACTTGGGAAGCCAAGGCACGAGAATCACTTGAGCCTAGGAGGTCGAGGCTGCAGTGAGCCCTGATCATGCCTCTGCACTCCGGCCTGGGTGAGAGAGACCCTGTTTCAAGAAATAAAAAAAAAATAAAAAGTAAAGTAATTAATTCCCCCATGTATGTAAATGTTCTTGTGATGAAGAAAATCCTAGTCCACAGGTCACCAAAGCGTGGCCGCCTCTTGGGCTCCGTCTGTGAACAGGTGGTTTCCTAATCCACAGTTATCAAAGTACGGCTGCCACCTTGTGGGGATGTGAGGAACGGGCCACTAAGAGAAGAGCAAGGGGCTGCTGCATCCCACACATCCCGCTGCTCCGAGCTGGCCCAAACTCCGGAGCGAGCCGGGGGCTGGGGAGCCACACTCACCTTGACCTGCTCATTCGAGGTGACAGCACAGAAGACAATCTCCGTGAAGCCCTGGGTGGGAAACATGCGGAAGCAGATGCCACCGATGACCCGCCCATCCTTGATCAAGGCCAGAGTCTTGTGCTTCCTAAGAGAGAGGTGGGCACGTCACAGCCCCTGCCTGTTTCCTTCAGGTCCCCAGAGCCCTGGAAGTCTGAACTGTAGTCAGGGTTGGGCAGTGAGAAATAAGAATGCTCAAAGGTTGAACTTCAGAAGTGGGGAGCAGGGGATCTTCAATTTTGAGGAGTCAAGAGGCCGAGGAGGAAGGGACCCGGGGGTGCTGCCCTGGGGGAGGGGCTCTCTGGGGCACGCACGGGTCAAAGACGAGGCGAGCGATATACTCCTTAGGCATGCGTGGCAGCTGGTGGGAAAAGACATTCTGCAGCCCCACGAGCCACAGCAACACCCGCCGGTTGGCCTTGGGCGTCAGCGAGTTGCCGATGACGTGGAACTCAATGATGCCACGGCGCTCCTCCAGGCGGGCTGTCTCATCCCGGGCCGCATTGGCCGAAAGCAGGCTCGTCTGGGCACAGAAGAGGGGCAGTGAGCTGGGGTTTCAGGTTGGTGGAGGTCCCCCAACTGGTCAGCAGGTCGGGCTGCCCACCTCAGGCCCCAGCATGGCAGCAGGGTCAGTGATGGTCAGCATGACCTCATTGACTAGCTCCATGGGGATGTCGCCCATCACACGGAGCCTCTTGGCATCCTCCAGGGTCAGGTTCTCCGGGAGCTTCCTCTTCTCGCCTATTGGGGAGGCAGGCAAGGTTGGTCAGGATCAGTAAAAAAAGGTTTGGGAAGGAGTGAATGATGGTCAGAGGTCAGGGATCAAGTATCCACCTGGCATAGGCTCGGCCCCTGCAGAATCCAGACTCAGGGAGCTGTTGCTGCCTCCGCCCATGCTGGGGCTGAAGATGGGGGTGCTGGGAACAACTGCTGCACTGACCGAAGCTGAGGAGAGAGAGAGAGAAGTCAGGGACGGGGGGACTGAAGCTGAGGAGAGAGAGGGAGAGAAGTCAGGGACAGGGGGACTGAAGCTGAGGAGAGAGAGAGAGAGGTCAGGGACGGGGGGACTGAAGCTGAGACAGAGAGAGAGAGAAGTCAGGGATGGGAGGGCTGAAGCTGGTGGCAGGTCCCTCAGTGGGATCCAGGGCCTCTGGCCCAGCTGAGCCCTCTTCCACCCAGGAGGCTTAGCTCAGCCAGGCAGGCCAGACACCCTACAGAGCATACCATGGCACATACCTGGCCGGGGCACCAGCTGTGTCCCCTCTGAGGGTGGCATGGTGAAGCCTGACTCCCAGATTGGAGAGTTTGCCCCATAGATCTCCTCCTCCAGCATGGACAGGAATCTGTAGGGAGGACACAGTCTGTCCCACAACTCTGTTCTCCAAGGGTGCAGCCTGGGCCAGGCGGCAGAGGGACTGGAGGCTGGTCAGAGCAGACCCTGCTCTTAGGGAACTGGGGACCTGAAAGAGGGGACAGCCCCTGTCTTCTGGGAGCCTCCAATTGAAGGTAAGACAACAGGACACATCCAGGACAGAGATCAAAGAAGCTCAGTTTCACCATGCTGTGTGGCACAGGGAGACACGTCTGAGCTGATGTCATCCTGTGCTGTGTGGCCAGGCAGGGCACCTTGTCACCCTGAATCCCCTCACTGCCCTCAGTATCAAAATGGGCTCAGACTCCACCCCACCTTGCCATCTTTTGTTCCCACCTGATGGCGGAGGGCACTAGAGAGCCAGGATTCGTCAGTGAGGGTTTTTTGAACAGGGGAGTTATGACCCAGATTTTAAAAGGTGTGGCCGAACAGAAGAAAATTGTACAGAAAAGACCAGAACAGGAGTAGAAATTGGTTTCACTTCAAGCATAAGCTCTGATTTCTTGGAGAGCTGTGCAGGGAAGGAGTCTGAGGCTGTGTCCAGGCCCCCATGGGAAACAATTAGTAACATCTACCGGGGCGTAGGGTGGGGTGGGGGCAGCGTTAGCTTGGGCTATGTACCTGCCATCCCCAGACTAGTACTAGCAAGTTGCTTCTGGGCCATGGGCAAGTCTGCCAGGTAGACGCCCAGATCCCAGAAGGCCCATGGAGGGAGAGGAGGGACCAATCCAGGAAGCCTTCCTGGAAAAAAGGGGACAACAGGGAGGATGTGAACTTGGGGCCAAATCCTGATAGGCCAGAAGGAGCCTTACTTGGGGAAGTGAGTGAGGATGAGGGTCCTCTTCTCGGGCACCAATTTGTCCTTCTCCACTCGGAACTTTTCCAGCAGCTGCCGGCGGGTAACGGTGAAAATGGACCGGAGAAGGCTTCGCCCAAAGACATGAGTGGTTTCGTAGCGGGGGAGACTATCACAGCTCTGGGGCACGTGGCAGTAACAGAGCCATCTGGAGTAGGGAGTTGAGGGGGAGACAGGTGAGGGCGGAAACCACTGAACCCAGGCTGGGCCTGCAAGCCTGCCACGAAGCTGCCCCTGGCTGGGCCTACCTGGTGTAATTGACCTTGTAGGTAGCCACATCTTCAGCCTGAGACCTCTGCCGAAACTGGGCAGGTGTCTCAAGCTTCCAGTAGTTAAGGCAGAGCAAGAACATCTTTGAGAGCTCGAACATCGTCTGCCGCTCCCGGGGAGCCAGGTGACTAAACTTGTACTGCACAAAGTTCAGCACACCCTGAGAAGGGGTGGGTGGGGAATAACACCAGGAATGAGATGTGAGCAGCCTGCAGGGCCTTCTTAGACAAAGGAAGATGCTCCCTGAGGCCAGGGACAAGGTTCTCCTCTCTCTCTCGGGTGCTCTCTATAGAAAAGCTCTGCCCCTCCCTACCACGATGCCCACCCTGAGGTTAGCACAAAACACCCTCCCTTCTCTGAACCTCCCCACTGTTCTCAGCTTGAGGAGGATGGAGAACACAGGCTCCCCACTCCTCCAAGCTGTCCCCAATTCTTCTCTCCGCTATCTCCAATTTCCCTATCCCACCTGCTCAATATTAGGTTTCTCAAATGGAGGGCTGCCCAGGGACCCCTCCACCACGGGCCGGGTCATCTGCAGGATGCACTTCCGCAGGAGCTAGAGAGAAGAGGAAGGGGCATAGAGGGGAGCGGGGCAGAGCTGCAGACAACCCCTCAAGGCCCCACCTCCTTCATTCACACCCTCCTTCAGTAGAAGCTCACCTTGAAGAGGTAGAAATAGACCTGCTTGGTGTCTGTGTCCTCCTCCTTGTGAACAGACATGAAAAGATTCTCCACATCCACCACCATCCCCAGCAGCCGGTTTATTTCATCCTCTGACACATTCTCCAAGTGAGATACGTGGTCAGCTGCAAGACAGATGGCAGAGTTGGGAAAAATTGATAGAAGAAATCAACAAGGCTTCTTGACCCTCTTCACAGCCAACCAAGATGCACACTCCGTCCCTCCAACCAGTGTGACCAACAGTGAGACTGACTGCTGCGATAACAGCCATTGGGTTGCCTGGGCCTGTTCTGGGCTGAGAGATTTCCTTTCCCCTCCCTTGGTGCATACACACCCCCCAACCCAATCCCTCCTTCGAGGCATCTTTGATTTTTTCAGGGATGAGGCTTTGTGGCACTTGTCACCCTGTCCAAGCAGCTGCCCCCAGCTCCAAGGGCGCTGCCTGCCTTACCCAAGGGATGCTCACAACTGCGGCACAGCTCACTCAGGTTGGCAGCTGGCTGCTGCAGATCCATGCGGGGTGCAGTGGGGGGCTTGGGGTTTTTCCAGCCATTACACTTACAGGTTTCATTGGCCTGGAGGCGGAAGGATCAGTCAATGATCTATACCTCTGGGGCAAGAGCCGCTCTGCAGCCAGAGCTTTGACCCCACTCCCACCCGAGCCCAGGGATGCCCCAAGCCCCGCCCCTTCACCCCAGGCCCCGCCCCCACCTTGCAAGCCGAGAAGACCCCTAGCTTCTCAAGCTTCTTGGCGCGCGGCAGCCCCCGGACTTGCGCCTTCCTCTGGCTAGCGCGCTGCTGCTGGCTCAGGCCAGGTCGAGCCGGATCCCCCCCGCTCCCGGCCCCCCCACTTCCTACCCCGGGCCCCCCCGTCCCTGTGCTGCCGGCTGGGGCTGCAGCTGGGGCAGGGGCTGGTGCCGGGGTGGGAGTCGGAGTCGGGGCTGAAGCCGGGCTGGGTGCAGGAGTCGGAGTTGGGGCAGGGGCTGGGGACTGAAGGGGCCGGGGCTGCGCAGCCGGGGCCGGGGTCGGGGCCTGGGAAGGTTCCGCCATGGCCTCCCCCGCAGCGGAGAGCGGCGCCGCGCTCCCAGCCCTAGGGCCGCATGGGCAACCGGCGTTCAGTGCGCAGGCGTCGCTGCGCGGCGCGTGACGGGAGTTGTAGTCTTCCAGCGCCTTCCCCCACTGCCTCCAGCTTCCAGACTTTTCTGTCTGGTCTCTTGGCCCCTGACAGCCAAGTGAGGCCTGAGCGAAGGCCCCACATTGACCCCTCTTCACTTGTAATCTCTTTTAATGGTGTCCGGGAGAGTCACGATGGCTGTCCTCTTGGGGACAAGGAGTCTTGGGGACAATCGTGGGGTCTGCCTCTTTCCCGCGCCTCTCTCCCACTTAACCCCCTCCCCCAACTCGCGCACAGGCCCTGCCCCACGGGGCTCCGGACATTGCAGCTGCGGTAAAGATGAGACGTAGCAACAGTTCTGCAGCAGTGTGGTGGTGACTTGAGTGTGTTCTCCTCCTGACATTCACCTGCAGCTTTTCGTGCGCTTTTCTGTATGTATTTAATAGTATCACTCAACAAAAGGGAGTTTATCAGGCCGGGTGGCTGGCTCACGCAGGAGAATCGCTTGAGCCTAGGAGTTCGAGACCAGGCTGGGCAACATAGGGAGAACCCCATCTCTACAAAAAAATAAAAAATAAAGTTTATAGACCGGACGAGGTGGCTCACGCCTGTAATCCTAGCACTTTGGGAGGTCGAGATGGGAGGATCGCTTGAGCCCAGGAGTTCGAGATTACCTGGGCAACATAATAAGACCCTGCCTCTTAAAAAAAAAAAAATCAGTTAACAGCACCAGAGGCATAGCTGTGGTTACGATGGTCACCAAGAAGGGTACTGTGGAGGGTGAGGCAGGGGAGGGCTAAGCCTTTCTCTGTGCACTGGGAGCCGCTCTCCTAAAGCCCCGGCTGCATCTTCATCTTTGTGGCCCGAGCCCAGACCACAGCCTGCATCACAGGAGACCGCGGGGGGCGGATGAATTAATGCAGCCAGAGAGACCAGTCCGCCTCCTCGTCTCGCGTGTCCGCGTGGGGTTGTGGGTGGTCAGGGAGAAGTAGGGTGGATGACCCAGAAAGGCCGCCCTCCCCTGACTTTGTCTGGGAACAATCCTTGCCCCAGGCCTGGTCCTTAGAAGGCAAGACAGCCCCCTTCCAGCTGGGGGATCAATCTGCTGTTGGCTGCGCCGCGGTCCGGCTCCCTCGGGTCTGGCCTGGTCGAGGATCCAGTTCCTTCACAGCTGCGGCCTCCCCGGGGCCCATTAACGAAGGTGGGGAAGGGCGGAGAAAGGGTCAGGGTCTAGGATGAGAGTAGCTGCGGGCGCGCCAGGGCGGTGACAGTCTGGCTCTTGGAGGTAAGATGGGCGTGACTGATTCCGAACTCCGCCTGCATTTGCAGAAGCGAAGGGAACCGAGCGAGCGGAGCTGAGCTCGGCTAGGCCACGGGAGGCCCCTCCTCTCCGGGCGTCCGCGCGCCTAGCTCTGCGCTCGGAGCCTCGCGCCCTTGGACAGCAGTTAGTTGCTGACTCGGATGCAGCCGATCGGTAACACCTTCTCCGAGAGCCGGGTGGCATCCCGGTGTCCCAGCGTGGGCCTCGCTGAACGGAACCAGGTAGCCACAATGCCGGTGCGGCTGCTCAAGGAGAGTCCGCCAGCGCAGGAGGACAATGATCATGCCAGAGACGGTTTCCAAATGAAGATGGATGCCCACGGCTTCGCCCCGGAGGAGCTGGTGGTGCAGGTGGACGGCCAATGGCTGATGGTGATCGGACAGCGGCAACTGGACGGCAGTGACCCGGAAAGGGTCAGTTACCGCATGTCACAGAAGGTGCTCCCATCCAACCTGAATCCTACCGCCATAACCTGCTGCCCGATCCCCTCCGGGCAGCTGTGGGTCAGAGGCCAGTGTGTGGCCCTGGCTCTCTCTGAAGCCCATACAGGACCGTCCCGGAGACTCAGGAGCCTTGGCTCTAAGGCTTCCAACCTGACCCAGTAAACAAACGACCCGATGTGCAGCAGCCTTGGTGTCCGTTGTCTTTTCTGGGGATGGGGGTCAGAGGTAGAGGGACTGGAGGCACAGGAGGCAGGAAAGGCGCCCCCAAGGTGGTGGTCCACCAAGAATCAGGCCTCTTCGGGCAGATCACTTGAGGCCAGGAATTCGAGACCAGCCTGGCCAACATGGTGAAACCCCATCTCTACTAAAAACACAAAAATTAGGTGTGGTGGTGTGGACCTGTAATCCCAGCTACTCGGGAGGCTGAGCAAGAGAATCCTTTGAACCTGGGAGGCAGAGGGAGGTTGCAGTGAGCCAAGATCCTGCCACTGCACTCCAGCCTGGGCCACAGAGTGAGACTGTCTCAAAAAAAAAAAAAAAAAAAAAAAAAAGGCCGCCTGTGGTGGCTCATGCCTGTAATCCCAGCACTTTGGGAGGCCAAGGCGGGTTGATCACTTGACAGGAGTTCGAGACCAACCTGGCCAACATGGTGAAACCCCGTCTCTACTAAAAATACAAAAATTAGCAGGGCATAGTAGCAGGTGCCTGTAATACTTGGGAGGCCAAAGCAGAAGAATCGCTTGAACTCGGGAGGTGGAGGCTGCAGTGAGTTGAGATCACACCACTGCACTCCAGCCTGGGTAACAGAGACTCTGTCTCAAAAAAAAAAAAAAGGAATCAGGCCTCGGTGGCCCTGGGAGAAATTAGAGGGGAGTGTGGTCCTAGCTGAGCAGCAGCTCCGACAGGGAGCAGCAGAGAGCTGAGTGCCTAAACCTGATTCCAGAACCAGTAGAGAGCTGGGTTGGGGCAACTTGGATGTGGTGTGGGGTGCTATGGACAGAGGTGGTGAGGAAAGCCAGGGGCTGCAGTCTTGATCTTAAGACCAGTCCAGCGTTCCAGGGGCTGTTGGGATTCCTTCCTCTTCAGAAAGAGTGAGAGGATCCAGACCCTCTCATTGGTAAAGACCAAACAAAAAAACCCAAAGAGGTTGTTTCAGGTGTTTCAGAGACTGATGATCATCAAATACAGACTGCATGTCACCCCAGTATGATCTGGTAGGTGGGGGAAGGGAAGGGAGCGGTGGAGAAGTGAATACAGGCCCTGAAACCTCAAACGTGGTCAGCCCAGGTCAGCCACCTCATCGGAGCTGCTAACAGTAAAAGCCTCTTTCTCTTGGTTACCATGACCGCCAGCATCCCCTCATATTAGAGGGGAAGATTTTGTTTAACAAGATTCAGTGGTTCATTTTAAATCAATTTCAACTACAGAGGGCACTGTCTGATAAACTGCCAGAGAAAGACAAGGAAGACAAGTGTGAGGTCGATCGATCGGCTGACTATATTGACAAGATACTGATTGGTTACATGTTGAAGAAAACATACAATACAAAATACAGAAAAGTTGGTTCCGTCCCCTCCCACTCCCCCCCTTACCCACCCACCCCCAAATACTCATCATCGTGATTTGGTCAGAACAGGGCTCAGAGCCAGAGGTCGGGGTGACCAAGGGTGGAAGGGTTGTGGGCAATGGGTTCGTGGCTGTCACAATAATGCTGTGATAATGCTGTGGTTTCCCAGCAGGGAGGTGGGGGCGGGGAGGGGGACTGCAGCCTGATGAGAGCCAGCTGAAGGAAGAGCTGCCTCTCCCTTCCTAAGCCCCTTCCCAAGGTCTGCCCCCCCCGCCCAAACCCAAGACCACTCCGAACAAGGTGAGGATGTGGATGCTCTTGCTGGGTCTGCTGTTCCGCAGGAGGGAAAGAAAGGGTAGCTGCTCTGACCCCACTGTCCCCATATACAAGGGTGGGGGGACAAGAGCATGTGGCTACTCCCAGCAAGGGAAAATGGGAGAGCAGTAGAAAGGGGAGGAAGTGGGAAGAGCAGAAGATCATATATATTAAAAAAGTGACTTAAGACTTAAAATTGAATTAGTATTTGTACAGAAAGGTGCAGGTGGAATAACTCACTCCGGCCTATGATCAAAATTATATGGAGAAATCATGGTGGACCCCTCCCCCTGCCCCCCCAGTGGTGGCCCCAGTCGTTAAGTGCGATTGGTTAGAGTGGATTCCAGTCGGGTCGTTCAGGTGGAGGAGGTGGGGGCAGTGGGCAGGCAAGGGGGGCTCAGTTGCTGCAGCACTGGCTCCGGCTGGCTGGGTTGTTCTCCTGGAGGTCCACACCTCGGTTTCGGCCTGGAGCACCAGTTGCATTCTGGGGCTCGTTCTTCGGAAGCTTCTTAGCTGTTTGGGAGGGGGAAAAGTGCATTTGTGGGGGGTACCCCAGTAACTCTCCCAGTTCCACTGGAGTAGATTCTGGCCTTTACACCCAATCAGTGATAACTCACATATTGAGGGCTTCTATGGGTCAGGCACATTCTGAGTGTTTTCAGGAAACTGTGGCAAAGAAAGGTTAAATAACTTGCCCAAGGCCACAGAGCTAATGAGTGGTAGAGCCAGGATCTGCAACCCAGGAAGGAAGATTCCAGAGCCAAATGAGCTAAAAACTCCTAGGCAATGGGTAGGGGTAGTGAAGGCAGGCTCTAAAATGGGTGGCAGGCTACAGGCTCAGAGAGTGAAATGTTGAGACTCTGGCCCAGGCTTCAGGAACTTCTCGGGTGAACAATCGACCTCTACATCTGGGAGTCAGGTGAAGACGAAAACAATTTTATCAGAAGGTTGAAAGTGATGAAGGGACCCTGCAGGCCCACTCTAGACCAGCAGACAGGTGATATGCCCTTGGTGTGGCAGAGAGGAGGGGAGGAGAAGCAACTGACCTATTGCCATGAAGATTTCGTTCACGTTCATTGCAGTCTTTGCTGATGTCTCCATGAACAGCAAACTGTTGTCATCTGCATAGGCTTGTGCTTCCTGGTTTGGATGGAGGTGAGACAGGGTGAGAGGGAAATGTTGGCAGGGGCCAGGGCCCAGGATACAAACCTTCCCTGTTCGAGGGCTTTATCATAATAGAGATCAGCTGGACACACACAGGGGTTTTTCAGGCCTAAGGCTGCCCTGATCTGGGTTTCCCCGCTCATGTATAGCACCTCTCAGCTCACAATCACTGGCAGATGTCTTACCCAGGTTTCCCTAGGTCCACCCTGCCTTCTTGCTCTTCAAAATCACTAGGCTAGGAAATACTTCTAGAAAGTTAACCTACAAATACACTTACATGTTTGCGCAAAAGCACAAAAGTATGTGGATGTCTACTGAAGCACTGTTTTCAGTCTTTTGCTATTATTAGGGATTGGCAAAAAATTACCATATACAGTATGTATAGCACACTGCCATCAATGTAAAGAAAGGGATTAAAAAACACATGCATATTTCTGGAAGGACAACTGGGGAAATTAGAAGAAAAGTTGAGTTTCTAGGGTTAGCAGAGACATTTGTTTTTCAGTAAGTTTAATTAAAAAGTCAACTTACAAGAAAAGATAAGCAGCAGGCTAGTGATCCACATCTACAATACCCCTACCACCAAAGAAAGAGAACCAGGGAGAGGCAGGTGACAGGTAATTCCCTTTAGTCCCACGCTTTCTCTCTCTCTCTTTTTTTTTTTTTTTTTTTGAGACAGGATCTCACTCTGTTGCCCAGGCTGGAGTGCAGTGGCACAATCACTGCTCACTGCAGCCTCAAATCTCCTGGCCTCCAGGAGTGAGGCCCCATCTCTTAAAAAAATAAAAACAGCCAGATGCGGTGGCATACACCTATAATCCCAACACTCTGCAGGCTGAGGTGGGAGGATCACTTGAGCTTGCTGGTCTCACTCTTGCTCAGGCTGGAGTGCAGTGGCGCAATCACTGCAGTCTTATACTCCTGGAATCAAGCAATCCTCCTGCCTCAGCCTCTCGAGCAGCTGAGACTACAGGTGCGTGCCACCAAGCCCATCTAATTTTTAAATCTTTTGTAGAGACAGAGTCTTACTATGTCGCCTAGGCTGGTCTCCAACTCCTGGCCTCAAGTGATCCTCCCACTCCAGCCTCCCAAGGCACTGGGATTACAGACAGGAGCCATGTTAGGCCCATGCCTGAGGCACGAGAGGCTCAGCAGATGGAAGCTTCCCCGCTGCCTCCTAGCGCGGCCCTTCTCAAAGCCCCTGAGCAACCTCAACGAGGCCGGGGGAGCTGCTTGCTCCACTCCTTCCCCCACGTCTGTCATCTCCTCACCTGGAATTCCACGGCTCTCTTGCTGGCCAGGTCTGCCTTGTTACCCGCGAGTGCAATGACGATGTTGGGGCTGGCCTGCCTCTGTAGCTCCTTCACCCAGTTCTTGGCCCGTGCAAATGTATCCTGAGGAGACAGGGACAGAATGTCGAAGGGACAGAGAAGGCATTCTGCCCAGGGCCACCCACTAGAGACTCTCAAGTTGGCACAGCCAAATTATCTAAGACACTGCCACCTAAAGATTCTGACGTAATGTCCCCAAAGAGGAAATCTGCCCACCCGCCACCCAGGAACAGAGGGTTAAGCGGCCTGAAATCGGGGCCTTGATAACCCAATCCCTGGGACTCCGAGAAGATGAAGGGAAGAGGAAGAGGCAAGGGGAAATCTTTACTGTGTTGGTGATGTCATAGACCACGATGGCAGCCTGAGCCCCCCGATAGTACATGGGGGCCAGGCTGTGATACCGCTCCTGTCCAGCTGTGTCCCAGATCTCAAACTTGACTGTTGTGTCATCCAGGCAGACAGTCTGTGTGAGGAAGGCCGCTGTAAGAGAGAAGGAGTGTTCAGGGGCAAGGGTGAGTTGGAAGCCACCTCACACAATCCCGCTGCTGCTTCTAGGCTCTGGCACGCAGAAGCCCACCACTGAGATGGGCACAGGGAACCCTCAACCCAGGAGCCAAAGCAGGCCTGAGCAGGGGTGGAGTTTGGATTTTATGTATGTGTCTGGGGGACGGGGTCTGCACAGGCTTTCCAGACCCAGCCCAGGCGAGGGCAGAAGGGAGGCCTGCATGCACCGGGTTGTCTCAGGACCACGCTCGGAAGAGGAATGCAGCAGGGGCAGCAGAGGGGAAGTCTAGGGGAAGCCTGACTCCAAGCACAGAAAGGTGAGCGCCCTCAGACCTCCTCCTCCTGCCACTCAGAGAACAGACCAGCTGGGGACCTCTCCACCCCTCAGTTTGCTCCAGCCCAGGGGTGTCATTGACCTTGGGTTTCCTGAGGACATTCTCACACACTTAGCTATGCTGGGGAAGTACACACTGTTCCACCACCAGGCTGAGGCTGGGTGGCCGCCTTCCCAACCACCCCTGCCACCTCCAGGCACTCCAGCTAGCCACCGCCCCTAGCTCTGACCCAGACCCGTTCCTGTATGGCCACCCTGTGACCCGACCTTCAGTCACTAAGAGGTGACTCCTTAGACAGGGGAAGGCAGGGTGCCTGTACACAGGCTTCAAAGGAGGAGTCCAGAGCTGGAACAGACAGCGAAAGGCCCCTTTGCCCTTGGAGCCAGCAGAGGACCCCAGACAGCCGTGTGTGGAAGGCTGCTTTCCTGGTCTGCCCTCCCCCAGCGTACTGAGGGACCTGGGGCACTGCCTCACTTCCCCTCTCCAGCTCCTGACCCAAATGCTGAGGAGGCAGCAGGGAGACTGCTGACACGGCCCATTTTGTTTCCAGCTGCCTGGAAACCTCCTACCAACCAAGAGAGTAGAGAAAGGATGACTCAAGGCCAATGCCAGTGTTGGCCCCTGCCTCTTGACGTGTGTGCTAGCCACGGAGGCAAGAAGCCGAGGCCAGACCCTCACTCACATCCTAAATGCTGACCACTGGAGAATCAACAACAGGCTGTGAGCTCCAGAAAGTCAGCTTCAGAAACGCCCACCTATCACCCAGCTCTGACTCACCAGGCTGTTCCTCCTTCTGGAAGTGGGAAAGGCCAGGGCACATGGACCACCCGTTATAGTAAGAAGGGGCCTCGAAGATCCAGAGCCAGCCTCTCCCTCCATGAGGCCGGGGCAGTGAAAGGGCCTCAGCCAAGGCCACACAAATCAGGAAGGGGCAGAAACAGGGTGGGAAGCTGGCTTTCCACTCCAGCGAATGCTTACTAGCGATGCTTCAGGGGACTCTGGCATAGAGACCAGGTGCTGGGCTCGATTCCAGAGCCCAGGTGAGGAAGTGCAGCTGCCACCACAGACGCATTTAGTCTCTAATGCAGGCAGGCAGCTTCCCATCTCTTCAAGGTCAAAGCATTTCTTTGGCAACCCTGAGGCCCCTCCCCAACTCCCTTGTGCCCACTCACCTCCGATTGTGCTCTCCTGGTACTCGTGAAACTGTCCCTTGACAAAGCGGAGGACGAGGCTGGATTTGCCCACCGCAGACTCCCCCAGCAGAACCAGCTTAAACTGACAGATCTTGTTCCCAGCGGCTGGTCCATTGGGTCGTGCTGCGCCTCCCCGACCCGCCATTGCCCGTCCAGCTGTAGTGGTCCAGAGAGCGTGCGGGTGGGGACCAGTGCTATGCAGAGAGGCACTTAGTGGGGAGGGGGACCTCCAACTGTAGGGGAGAAATGAGAAGTACTGGGTTAGTTCAGAGGCCGTTGCCCGGTGTGTCCTTAAATTACAGATCTTTCCCTCTGGCCTCACTAAGACCTAGCTGACTGCTTCCCCTCACCTCACCTCCCTACCCTCCCCACTAGAGGTCAGGAGGCCTCACTGGGCTACATTAGACGTCTACCGGCTCTACCACCATCTGAGCCGTAAAGAGAATGGTCTCCCAACTTCAGGCTCATGGTTCTGAGCAAACACATTGACTTCTGGGTCCCAAATATGTACATTCACTTAAAAGGTGACGAATGAATGTGTGACAGCCTGGTGACAGTTAAGTCAACAGGCTTTTGCGGCAAAATTTAAAAAAAAAAAAAAAAAAAAAAGCTTAGGAAGATACTAGGATTTAGGTCAACAATGAAGTTCCAGTCTGGTAGCCAGGACCACAATGGTAAGGCAGACAGGGGCCCAGGGGGTCCTGGTAGAAAGCTCCTCAGAAAAGGTGCTTGGCCAACCTTGTGGGCTGGGCATTCAGGGACCAGGGCCTGGCCAGCACAAGTTATTATTAACATAGCCATTTTTCTCCTGCCACCTTCAGAAGGACTGACCGACTTTCAGTCTAAGGCTGGACTGTGCTCCTCTGTGCACCAGAATCAAAGCAATGTTTCACTCTCTCATCCTGAGCCTTCTTCCCTAGTTCTCTCATTTTTGATGGGCCAAAGTCTCGCGCCCATTAAAAAACAAAACACACAGAAACAAACCCATACTGAAACACACACAAAGCAAACACACAGAGAAACACACAAACACACCCCAAAACACACACAGAAACACACCAAAACAGACACCAAAACACACACCGAAACAAACACACACGGAAACACACACCGAAGTCAGAGCTCTGCCGCAGTCAGCACAGCTACCAACTTTCCCTTTTTCAATAGAGACCTCAGTTCCATTCTCTACTGGCAGAGATGGGGTGATGGAGAGAAAGAAGAGGCAGGAGGTGAGGGAGGGCAGAGACCAAGTCCTGCACCCCCAACAACTGGTGTTCCAGCCCCGACATCCGAATCACTTGGTTGGTGACAGCTTCAGAGGCTCGAGTTTTTGTTTTTGGTAAGTTTTGGAATTGCAAAGACACATGAGGAGCCTATCTCTAGAAGCCTCTAGAAGACATAAGTGGATGTCTTCATCAGACATATACATCTGATGTTAACAGACATCAGGATATATACAGAATGTTTTACAAACAGGTCCTATGAGTAGGTATTAAGTACTGAACACCGTTCAGCGTTTGAACCTGGGTTGGAAAGAAAAGGTTTTTATTAGGCTTCCCTTTGCATAATGGAGTCTAAGATCCCAGGGAGAGCCGTGATCTGCCCCTGAGCAAGGGAAGTACATTCCCTCAGAGTCAAGGGACAGCAGTGTGGATGAACAGGAGGTGTCTGTGGGAAGCAAATGGTGCACACTCATGCAAGAAGCTGACAGCAAAGGGCTTGTTTTGTTCAACCTCAAATCGTTTTCCACATCCAAGTTCTCCCAGCAACTCATTTAAAAAGTGAGCTTCAGGAAGAATGATTCACTAGCCAGAAACAACAGTTTCCTTTCTGGACAGAACCAAAGGAAAAGAGGTTTGAAATGGGGCCCACCTCTTCCCCAAAAGTACAAGGAAGGAAGTACGGGGTGGTGGGTCTCAATTAGCAACCAGAAATACCATGTAAATATTTCAAAGTTATGCCATTTCAATATTTCATAGTTTAAGAAGCTTTTTTGTTTTGTTTTGTTTTTTTGAGCTGGAGTCTCACTCTGTCGCCCAGGCTGGAGTGCAGTGGCGCGATCTCTGCTCACTGCAAGCTCTGCCTCCCGGGTTCACGCCATTCTCCTGCCTCAGCCTCCGGAGTAGCTGGGACTACAGGCGCCCGCCACCACACCCGGCTATTTTTTGTAATTTTAGTAGAGACAGGGTTTCACTGTGTTGCCACTGTGGTCTCGATCTCCTGACCTTGTGATCCGCCCGCCTCTGCCTCCCAAAGTCCTGGGATTACAGGCGTGAGCCACCGCACCCAGCCTTAAGATACTTTCTCATTTCACCCCAGTCAATGAAGAGACAAGGTCTGCGCTTTCTAATTCTTAGAGATGCCCTCCTCACGGTGCCTATGTGCATACTAGGAACTCAAAGAGTGCTGACTGAAGGAAATAATTTTTTTTATTTTTTAAAGAAACAGGGTCTCACTGTGCTGCCCAGGCTGACAACCTGTGAGGCAACCTGTGGTGTGACCACAGCTCACTGCAGCTTCCAAGATCCTACTGCCTCAGCCTCCCAACAGGTATACACTACCACACCCAGCTAATTAAAATTTTCTTTTTTTTTTTTTTGGCAGAGACGGAGTCTCACTCTGTTGCCCAGGCTGGTCTCCAACTCCTGGCCTCACGCAACCTCCCACCTCAGCTTCCCAATTGCACAACCATTATCTCCTTCAAGCTTTACAACAACCTCCATTTTTCAGATAGATAAATTAACATTCATATATTAAATGTCCTGCTCATGGTCACCTAGCCTACAGGTGACAGAACCCCCAGCCCCACCACAGACACGATGCCATCCTCCCTGCTGTGGAAGAACAGTGGAGGCAGTGCCTGCCCTATCTTTGGTTTAGGGCTGCTAGGTGAATGAGACTCTCTTTTTGTGGCAGCAGCTTTGCTGGTCCAGGAAGGTCTAGCTCTAGCTGGCTTTAGCAACAGTCACAGTAATCTTGCAGTTTCTGAGTGTCCTCAACAGTGGCAGGAGCCGCCCCGAGCCAGGCAGGACGACAGCGACAGAGGGAAAACCACAGTGGAATTACAAGTTGGTTATTACCATGAATCCACGTGACACAGAGTCTTGGCTGAGCAACAGTCTGTGGCTGGGGCACTAGAGGAGGAGGTATGAATGAACTGGGAGATGGTAATAGAAAACCAAGTTTCTGATTCCAGAAAAACCATCCCGGTGCTGTGGGTACCGGGATGGGGAGTAACCAGCACCTACAGGTTGAGAAAAATAGAGGTAACAGATCTAAGTCTTGTCACTACCAAACCACAGGGTTAGAGGGACAGAATGTGATTTTTAAAAACAAGCCAGAAGGGGAGACAAAAAACTCTCCTGCAGTAGTTCTCAACAGTGCCTGTACATTGAAGTCATCTGTGCAGCCAGCCCCTCAAGATTCCCATGAAGGTTTGGAGCAGGGCCCAGCATCTGCAGGTGCCACTGAAGCACAGCCAGGGCTGGAGCATCTGGCATAGAGAGAGTGAGCACAGACAATGGCTTTCCACACCACGGGTGTGACTATCTCCTGCCACTTCTGAATCACTTTGTAGAAGCCACCTGAGCTGAGCCTCAGTGTCCTCATTACTAATATGGGGCACACCAGGGTTAATGGCAGTGTTTGCCAGGTGTCTCACACACATCATGTTGAGTAAACAGTAGCTAAGAGTACTGACATGGTTATTTTTAACACTTTCTCCAAGACTATTGGTGAACAGACTCTGGCCATCCCATTGAACTCAGGCTCTCCCTGGCATAAACTAGCTGGTGACATGTTCTGCCTGGTCACTGATCCTGCCTTCCAGAGATACCTGAGCAGGCACACACAGCACTTTTTATGGTCTGTTGCCTCGTAGTTTTCCCGGCCCTGCTTGGTGATCACATAAGCAGTGGTGTCCAACCTTTGCAGTCAACAAAGCCCAAGGAAGCCAATTTTGCTAGGAAAGGCACACGGAGGTATGAGGGTGTCTAAGCCAGGTGAAGGCCAGACCGAGAGCCCGAGGAAGCATTATACCCTCTCCCCTCAAGCCTGGGAAACTGAAGACATGGTGGGTAGTAAGGTGAATGCATTCAGTGAGCTGTCCTACCTCCCAGGGATGGGCGTCTGACTAAGAATCTTTCCTCTTGAACCCCTGGCAAAAATTATCCACTTGTGCAGTCAGGTGATGGAATTATAACCAAATCTGACACAGTTTTCAAAGTCTTGAGACAAAAATCGAATTCTCCGTAAGAGCTAAAGTTACAGTCAAAGTTGATTTTTTTAAATTAGCTGACTTTGTGGTACACGCCTGTAATCCCAGCTACTTGGGAGGCTGAGGCACAAGAATTGCCTGAACCCAGGAAACAAACTGCAGTGAGCCGAGATCGTGCCATTGCACTCCAGCTTGGGGCAAAAGACTGAAACTCTGTCTCAAAAAAAAAAGTTGACTTTTTTTCACGAGTACGATGGCAGTGCTGGAGCTTCAGATGTAGGGAGAAAGACTGTCCTTGCTGTGGACCCACCATCCGAATCAGAACCCTGGCTTGTTCAGAGGCCACTAAGAACAAGCACCAGTCCCAACCTCATGTCTTCCACAGCAAAGGGGAGAAAATGTATAAGGACTTGGAGTCACACTATTCTCCTATTAATACAATGCACATGGAAGGGCAGAAGGGATCTAAGCTTCTAAACACTCCAGCCCCATGCACAGGCACTTCTGGGCCAAGGGTAGGAGAGAAAGAGAAAGAAAAATGGGGCACTGTTCTTCCCTGCTCTGGGGTTCCCTCAGCTCTGGACACTACAGGTCAGTGGGTCTCAAATTTTTTCTTTTTTATTTTATTTTTATTTTTTTGAGTAGAATCTTGCTCTGTCACCCAGGCTGGCGATCTCTGCTCACTGCAACCTCTGCCACCCAGGCTCAAGCGATTCTAATGCCTCAGCTTCTAGGAGTAGCTGGAACTATAGGCATATGCCATGACACCCGGCTAAATTTTTCTGTACTTTTTGTAGAGGCGGGATTTCACCACATTGGCCAGGCTGGTACCAAACTCCTGGCCTCAAGTGATCCGCGTGCCTCAACCTCCAAAAGTGCTGGGATTACAGGTGTGAGCCACCTGTAATTTTTTTTTTTTTTTTTTTTTGCTGTTGTTTGAGATAGTCTCACTGTTGCCCAGGCTAGAGCAGTAGTGCAATCACGGTTTACTGCAGCCTTGACCTCCCAGGTTCAAGC